AAGGACACTTGTCACTGGACTCAGGGACCCCCTGGGTGATCCAAGATGACCTCATCTCAAGAGCCTTAACTTAATCAGATCTACAAGGTACCTCTCTTTCAAATAAGGTCACATTCATAGGCTCTGAGGATGAGGATGTGGCCACAATTCAACCCGCTGGACAAGTTGACAATCTCTGAATAATGATGCGCTTTAGACCTGCAATCAACGCGGGTTACCCGACGAGATGGCTCATCATTCTTAACCACAGGAAACACCCAGAGGACAGATGATGTTGCAGACTTATTTACAGCCCATCTGCAAATGGTTCTTCATTAGTCCTTCCCTTTACCAGACAAGGAATCCAGCAAAGGAAGCTTGTCCGGCCATGGGAAGCTCCGTGGCCGGCTGTCATAAGGTTTCTGATCATCTTGGTTCCGTTTCCGGCTCACTGCGCAGGTTGGAAAGTCAATGAACTTTTCACTCACCAGCACGTTGACAGTACAGCTCATGCGGTTTTCTTTGTTCTCATCATGCATGATGGTCCTGTAGTCCAGAAGTCGCTCCATCAGGCGCACGACGAGTTTTACAAACGTTTCTCCGGTTTTGGCGAGGTATTTGTGTTTCCTGCAGTGTTCCAGCAGGCTGAAAAGGAATATGCGCACCTTGTTAATCACACGCAGGAAGTCGACTGAGGTGCAATTTAAAATATTTCCCATTATTAACACATTTTAATTACTTCTGGGCTACAGAGTTCATTGTGGTCTAATTACAGTCTGTGTCTCTATTCTGACATCAATCCCACCGTTAATCAACACTTACATTTTATCAAATAACACTTTGTACTGTTCGTCTCCTCTGCCCCCTTCCACTTCATGATCCAGCTTGGTGATGATCTCATTTTCGAACTATAATTAAACAGAGGAAGTGGAAGTCATCAGCATGGCGGGTATTGCGTTTTATGGCTGGAGCACCAAGACTCCATAAACCGGCGCGGGATCACCATCAGAGAGCTGCCCTAGGCGTTCAAGCCTGGTTGCATTTAAGAGTTGCTGTCCCCCGGCCCCTGGGGATTGCTGGTGACCCAGAATCTTCCATTTCCTTCAGTGGTTAATGGAGCTTAAACATGCATACTCCAATAGCAGGAGTAAGTAAGAACCAGAGAAAGAAAGACAAGGAAACCGGAGGGAAAAAAATCCACAACATGAAAAGAACTTCTCAAATGTCATCTCTATGAACAAGTAACATATAAGACAGCTCGTCGGGTCCTGGAAATGAACAGATGGCATTTCGCTTCCCAGCAAGGAGTTCTCTGTAATCTGAAAACATCCAAGGGGCCACTTCACTGCCGTTCCTTGAAGGATCCTAGTGCATCATCTCACTCTGGTTGAAAAAATATTGTAGAAAACAAGAGGGGCAAAAGTCTGTACAGACAGACCAACAGACGCTTCACGAAGGTCCATGCCAGGCTCCCTGTGCTCCCCAAAGCTTCTGATTGCACCTCAGTGGGCAAGAGTCCTCAGGACTGACTCTCGGGCGCATGCTTTAGGGAAAATGCCGAATTCTCGAGAGGTCCAAATCTGCAAAACGTTTTGACAGAGGCTGATCTGGAAATAACCGCCCTGATAATATATGTGTATCTGTGTCCTCATCCTTGTGCCCAGCCTCCCATCCCTGGCAAAATTCAAAGCCACCTCAGTGCTAGGATTCTGGCCCGGTGACTGCCTTGTTGTAGGGGGACCTGAGGTCACACACTGAGTTGGGCCAGGAAGGAACAAGGGCCTGGGAGAGACATCGTTCCCACAGAGATGGAGACATCCACACAGAGCTGGAAGGCGACGACAGAAGGAAGAACCGAAGTAAACAAGCGCTGAGTTCAGGGCTCAGAAGCAAGCACGCCATAGCACGTATGCAAGGTCGCTGGGGTCCCTGTAAATTATATGCTGAGGCCTTCCCAGGCAACAATCCCAAGTCCCCCACTATTATCAGGATCCCACAAGAGTTTAAGTCGCATGAGAATTTCCTTCTCTCTTGGCCACCGCTGTGTCCCCAGCACATAGGCGAGCGGCTGATAGAGACAGTGCTCTGACGAGATGCATGTGTGATGTGCACATAAAGTACTGGATAGAGGTGGTGTTTAACTGGAGCTGGGCGGGGCTTAATGGGGCAGCAAAGGGGCAGGTCAGTAGGTTCTAAGGCACACCTGCTCTCTTGGCCACGCGAGGCAGGTGGTTAACACTCATCCGAATGCCTGTCACAGGTACTGCAGGCACCATCTACTGCCCTGGGGACTCAGGGCATGGCTGCTGACTCAGGGCATGGCTGCTGCAGTGGAAGCAGACTGTGGCCCCCTGTGAAACAGGCAAGGGGTCTGCTGAGACTCAGGGAGGAGCCCAAAAACAAGCCCAGACCTGCAGGATGTTGAACAGGACACGCTGCCTGAGCTCCGTGTGATCATGGTACAGATGAAACAAAGGGTGCAAACAGTCCTGGAGTGAAGTATTGATTCCTACTTGACATCAAGGCCTCAGCAGCATCACAACAAGCTGGACCTCGGNCCCTGCGTTGTTGCCTGGTACCCGTCCCGCTGGGTGAGGTGGGCTGCACACACGTCCTCCGACCACTGAGGCGAAAGCAAGGCGTGAGCAATGCCATCAGGCGAGGGCATATCCAATGCTACCCTTTGCCCACCCTTGGGTCAGAAGGCACAGTGAGCTCTGCATTTAGTGCGCGCATGCGGCCATGATTCTGGGGACATCTGGGACTGCTGTCATCAGGCTGCTGGGCCTGGAAATGAGGCAGAACCTCTGTGCAGAGGCCCTGAGAAAAATGAAGGACAAGAGGGAGGCAAAGCTGGGTCTAGATTCATACAGACGGGAAACCCAGCAGCTTCTGGAAAGCACAGACCTGTCAGTTTGCTGATAATGTCATGTAACCCACGGGATGAATTATGAACCCGATGATGTGTGGCTGTCTCACTGGGGCATCCAGGGTGCTGGCCTTGGTCCTATGCTGCTCAGCATTGTAATCGATCAACAGCAACGAGGGCGCACTGACCCTGTTTCCAAGTCTCAAGGAAAGGGACTTTGCAGGCGACCCAGCTCCTTACAGAGTGAGGAGGTGTCTTTGTACCTTTAGCCTCAGGCACACTGCATGTCTAAGGCAGGGCTCGGCCAGTGTTTGTGGAAGCATCCGTGGACTTTTGGTAAGAAGGAAAGGTGCACAGAGGTCTCAGCAAGCTGGGGATATACACCGAAGTGAAGGAAGCTAATTTGACATGTAAAGGCCTATCCTCAGGCTCACCAAATCAATGGCATTAAGTATAGGGCTCCATAAAAGTCAGTGTTTGGTGAGGACTTACTATGTGGAAGGAACTATTAATAGGTCAAAGATGAATCAGATGCCTGACGCAGAGACAGTGCTTTGCAAATTAGAGCATAACGATAAATAATAACANGGGTCTCTGTAGGAGCAGAGATCAGGGGTGACCTCCCGTGGGTGCTTGTGGGAGATGGTGCCACGCAGGCGCAGTACTTCCTGGGCCAGCACCCCACATCAGACCCATGAGGGAGCTCCCCTGTTGTTGCACGGATGGCAATGTCCCCACAGCGCAGAGGACAGTCTGTGTTACACAGAGCGATGGCAGGAAGGTCACCATAAGGTGCCTCTGTGAGAGGCTGGGATCCGTAACCACCAGAAATCTCGGCTCCTGGAAGGCTGCCTGATCTGGTTAGTGGAGGTCCCAGGAGTGAAGTGGCCAGCTATAGGAGTGGCTCCAGTGGCAGCAGCAAACCAGCACAGCTCGCTGGCCGGTATTCCTGGACCATATGACACTGACATCAGCTGGGTTTTCAATGGCAACAGTGGCACGAGCTGCCAACTTCTCGCAGGTTCTCTTCAGGTTTATGATGTAGATGCCATCACTTTTCTGTTTGTTTGTAGGTGGACTGTTCCCTTTGGAAGTCGAGGTCGGTGCCACCTCAGTGGGTTCGTGTTGCAAGGAATCCGAGGACAATCCTCGTCCTCCATTTTCAGGACATCAGGGCTCCGGTCACTGGGAGGTTCCCTTTAAGTCAAGTGGGAAGCGAGGACATTGCCGTAGGGGTCCCGCTCTGGGTAGTGTGGAAAAGCGCAAGTATGCTTTCTTCATGAAGAAAAATCCGGTGAGGCTGCAACTTGCGTGTTACTCGTTTGGGGGCAGGAGACTCAGTGCGATGGGGGCGGGGTGGGCTTCGGGCCAGGTGAAGGTAATGCGGCTCCGCAGGTCTGCAGGAATGATTCAGGGACACGAGGAAGCCCGTGCCTCCAAAACTCTCCCTGCGAGCTTAGGAGACCCTGAAATCCCCACACGCAGAAGCTCTCCTTTAGAAAAGGAGAGGTTCCCAGAAGTCCTAGTTTAAGTGTAAGCATGCTTCCCTGGGGTGGGGGTGGGCACAGTGAACAGTGACACAACTGCTGGGATGACTGGAGGAGGGGACGAGGTGCAACAGGAGAGAAGCCATAGAAGAGGAAAATGGTGGAGACTAGAAGGGGCATCCAGACCACAGAAGACTCTTAGAAAGGGCTGGAAGAACCAGGGTGGCCAAGGGCAGCTGGAGCGGTGGAGGCACTCACAGCAAACGGAGAGGTAAAAAAGATGAGACGCGGGCTTGTGTTGAGCGGGTGCAGAGAAGGCCGCATGGACAGGGCAGATAGTGGAGAATGGCTGGAATCGCTGTGGTCAACAGCAGCTACCACAGGGCAGGAAAGGGTCTACCTGCGAGGGGCACAACTAGAGGTTCATCAGGCTGAGGCTCGTGGGTGTACTCCTGCCTCCTTGCTGACGGAGTATTCACAACACGAGTGCTAAAGAGGACAACCTCCACAGAAGGCGCCATCCCTCTGTCACCACCACACCAACAGGGGATGAATCAGATCAGCGGGGTTGGGGGGTGGGACAGAGCCGTTCAGGTCACAGAGAAGTTATACAGCACCCCATCCGTCACAGTGGCTTCCCTCTGGACCACAGGTCTGCTCAGCTGTGAACACCAGCCACCATGAGGCATGCTGTTCTGTAGGTACAAAGGATTTCTAGAAGAACTCAGGGCCACTTTGGACACATGTGGACCGTCTAGTTCACGTGATTCTGCCCAGTCCATGCTCCTCCACGTTGCATCAGGTCAGCTCTCCCCCTTGGCCTCAGGTCCCTGCACAGCATGTCCTCTTACAGGTGACTTCTGGTATCATGAGAGGATCTTAGTCAGCTGGCCTTTGCAGAGCCACCTGAGAGGACGCGCCCAGCACAAATGATATCAGGCTGACTTAACAGCCTCGGCCCTGGGAAGAGCGTCCCAGACCCAGGGCAGGGCACACGAGTGGGGAGCTCCATGCCACCCCGCCCCACCACCAGGAGAGCCCCATTCAGTGCACGGACCCTGGGGAGTCCACAGTAACATCCAGGACAAGGACAAGGACACGCCTGTTCCACAAAAAGATTCATGCTCTTTCTTGCAACAGTGGAGAAGGGAAGAACCCGACCCCCTGGGGACATGCACGTGTGTGAACGCTCTAAGGAGATGCCCTCCCTGCAGCCGGAGGCCACAGGGGCAGCAACTCTAGGAGCTCGTGACCAGCCAATCCGGAACACGTGCTTTTGAAATTCCAGTAATGGTTTGATGCAGCTTAATCTTGAGTGAAAGGTGGGTTTTTCTTCTGAATCTAGCAAGTCCCCTCCTCTCTCCTATGGTAAAAGTATAATACACCTGGAGATAATGCATATTTCACAAACAATAGCATATTAACAGCCCAATTCCGAAATGCACAGCAACCTTTAAACAAGTAAGCTACATCACATGTTCAAAGCATGAAAGTTCTGTAAAAATGAAAAACCTTAATATCTTCCCCTCACTCCATTAGGTCTGCACATCTGCTATGGAAGTTGAGCCAATTTAAGCCCTTGTTGATGTGACGAATAAGGTTAGATAATTGGATTGGTGGCGGATTAAGCAGGAGCCAGTCAGCCCTGACCTAGAAGCTTCCTGGGGTGGAGGCAGGCAGGGCTGACTGCTGTTCTGTCCACGTGCCGCCCATGACACATTCACTCACAGCCCTTACAAGGCGGAGAAGGCAGGCTATGTGTTTCAGGAAGAGCAGCCGATGCAAGACAAGATTCAACCGAGAACAGGAGGAGTCAGAAAAGATACAGCCAGCTGAGAGACAAGTGCTGTGGTCCTGAGGGCCCTGTGCTGGGGACAGGGAGGAACAGATGGATGCTGGAGATGAGACGGTTAGAACGGACGAGTCGCTGCGGCCATCAAGGAGCCCAGGAGAGCAACAAAGACACGGCCAGTGTAACCTGTCCCCATAAAGCAAATGACGAGGAGACTGGCGGAAACGGGATGATGGGGACACAGCAGTTCCGGGAAGGATGGCATCCCACCTGGGAGGCTGAGACGGGCCAACAGGAGAATAAATTGAGACATCCCAACAGAAAAGGAAATAGATCTTTTCCCAATTCCCAAGAATGGATGAATACAGCAGGGGGATTTTTGTTCACAAGTTTTAGGTTTTTTGCCTTTATTTTTACAACCTCTGGCGTGTCCTACCACTTGTCTGCAAAGACGGCCCAAGCAGAAGACAATACAAATGGCCAACAATTATCGACCAAAATATTCAAGTAGCTGACCATGCTTAGCCTGACATGGGTTTGTGGACCTGCGTCCTCATGTGTGTGCTTTTATCAGCATACATCCAAGCGAGGCCTGTCTCATGGTAGGGAAATTGTTTGTAAATGATGAGTAAACGTGCTTAACTCCTGCATGGTATTATTCAAACACTCGGTTTTCTGGAAAAATGTCACTCGATATTGGTCAGATTCTGAAGCCACTGCTGGGGGGCGAGGGTTGAGAATGGAGGCAAAAATGCCGTGACTCTCATTACTTTGTGTCATTTACTGAGAAACCCGAGGCCCCTGCGAACTGAAGAAAATGAAGCACTTGGGCAGATGGCTGTCCGGAGATGTTGGAAAGGCATGTGAAATAGGAAAGAGACAAAAAGAATGGGTGGAAGAAGAGGAACAATTCAGAAATCTTTATTCCAACTGCCTTTGACCTTATTTTGACCCAAAGGCTGCTTCAAAGAATGACAAGTGACATCGTGTTAAAAGGCCTTTGATCTTCATTCCTTGGGCTCGTAACGTTTAGCTATATAAATACATTTTCCTCCTTTACCTGATTCTTTCATTTCATGGCATTTTTTTTTTCTGTAAGGTCCTTCCTTGGGGCTTGATTCATATAAAATTCAAAAGGTCTGATGCATTTTTCAACTCAGGAAGAAGCATTTTGTATGACAACTTCTAGTTCTGGTAAGATTTAGTTAGTGCCAGGGGCAGTGGAGATGGGTCAAATCTTATGGCAATAACATTAAAAAAATAGGCAATATTGTCAAAAGTTACAAAAATGTTTTGAATCAACAATTCCACTTCTGAGAACATACACCAGGAAAACTTTCAAAAGAAAGTCAAGCTATCTGTATGCTTTTATTCACGGCACATTTATTCAGAGTAGTGCAAACCTGCAACAACCTATATGCCCAACTAAAGGGGATGGATAAGAGATCAGCCAAGTTATTTAATGAAATGTTATGTCATATTTATAATCATGGTTACTAAGTTGTAATCAAGGAAAATGTCTTCAATAAATTGTCAAAAAAAAAAAAGAACAATCACAAAAAATTTGGACAATGTTTACAACATTACACTTACATATGTACAAAGATAGACAGTGAACCAGGGGAACAAACACAGCTGTTCCTTTAAAATAGTCTCTTTAATTTTACACATAAATAAATGTAAGGAAATCTACCTCACCCATGGAAAGAGGGGAAGGAAGCAAAGAAGGAAAGAAGGAAGGAAGGGAGGGAGGGAGAGCGGGAGGGAGAGCTAGAAAGGGAGGGCTTTATCGGCTTGATTTTATTCACTTCTCACATCATCCCTTTGGACAGCTTCTATTCTGTGTCCATTTCACAGCTCTGAGTCGGACACTTAAAGCTGTTCAGTCATTTGCTCAAGACCAGGTAGTACCAGGCTAGGTCGGGGATCATGGCCCACCCGACCTCTGAGTCTAAACCCAGCTCCTACTCACTTTTAGCTTTCTGTTTTTCATTTTAGGGAATAGCAAAATTCTTCTTCATGGCTACTTACTACCTTCGGGCAATAATGATGAAAACTGACCAATAAACTCTATAAACTATTCGAAGCTCCCTTAAACTAGAACGTACAAAGGTAGGGAAGGAAAAATCTACTCTTTAAATATTAGATCTTACTGAAGTCATGCTACCTTGACTGATGAAGCTTAGGTTTCCTTTCAAAATAGGATTTTATCTGAAAATTCCTCAAAAATCTATGTAAAATAAATATTCACACGCTTGACTCACTATAGTATTTGAACAAAGGTTGCTTTCAGTGTAGAGGACCCCTATTGTTTGGGTTCTTCTCTTGCCTCGTGCAAAGCATCATGGCCAAACCTTATGAGTCCACGATGGAGGAAGCCACTGTGTCCGAGCATGTGGATGTGTGCCCACCCGTGAACACGGGAACATTGTCCCTATTTTCACAGGATCCAGGGAAGGAGGTTCTGTGACTTCTCAAGCACAAATAATTCAGATTTTGTCCTTAGTGTTGATACAGTACGTTCTGAGCACTTACACCCACTTTCTTTGAGCAATTCGCATTAGTTCTATTGCACGGGTAAAAGACCGAGGCACACATTTAAAGAATAAAAGCCAAGCCTTTAGATTTTCAAATAACATAAGTCAGCAATAAGCATCCAAGTCTCAGAGAATACAACACCACCTGATTCAATGCTCTCTGAGTGCACATACCATGGAGGGTGATCCAGGGTTAAACGTGTAAGTAAATCCAGATAAAATAAGTAAGTGAAAGCTAAAAACAGAACGATTCTCCCTAAAGATAAGGGCGAAGGATAATAGGCTTCTTCAACAAGGAAAATCCTAGGATCTTCTTCCCGTAAACTGTAGAAAATTATACTCCCCATGTCCAACACCCTGAACTCTAGAACCATCCATAAGTCTTTGTCAAGGCTCCCAGGCTTGTCCCCTCTTCCCCCCACACCACTGCACGCCCACGTCCTTACCATCTGGAAGCTTCGGGTGGAATGGAACTCACACTGCATCATATCGAAGAAGATGGGGATGGTGGCTTTGCGCAGCTCTGTCTCAGGAATTAGTGTCATTTCCAATATCGGGCCGACCATTTCTGGAATGAACTTTATCTTGTGCTGACCTTGAATAAAGAAATGCATTATTCAGGAATTAAAAAAAGGATTCTACATCGGGCTTCAACGAACACAACAAAACAACACAGACCACTGTGATGTCGAAGGCTAGGATCTTGGGACTATGCACCCATTTGTCACCTGCTGGCATTTCGAGTGCATTCAGCTTTTAGTCTAAGAAGTGGACCATATTCTAATTGTTGTAAGTGATGCTATTAAAAACTCCATCCAGGGCCGGCTGACTGGCTCAGTTGGTTAAGAGCTCGCTCAAGAGTTTGAGCTCTGAGCAACAGCGGTTCAAGTCCAGCCCGAGCTGAGCAGCCGCTGAGCTGCCAATAGGTAGCAGGATGGCTCAGCTAAAAAAAACCCCAAAAAAACAAAAACAAAAACAAAAAAACTCCATCCAACATAAGGGCGGTAGTCATGATGTGTGTGGTACAGAAGATGAATACCGTTTTACAACTAGACAATTATCACATAGATGAAGGATATGGGCAGCTAATGGGGACCAGCTTTGGACAGAGAGGGGCTGGGAGATGGAACACGCAGGAACTCGCATGGTGGACAATGAACAAGAAGGAGCCCATAAAGCGAGGGGACTAGAGGACGTGGTCTCCTGCGTCCCCTCTAATCCAACATATTATAAAGGATTTTCCATTCGGCACCTCTGTAAAAAACACAGTGATTTCTGTAACATTCTGAAAGGCTCCAACCAAAGCACAGTCCTCAGGATATGAAGTTGTGAAAACAGAAATGACTGCCTTCTTTGGCTATTGCTTGACTGGAAATCACTTATTGAAATAACTATTCATCTTAACTCACCTATTTTTTTTTTAAGATTTTTATTGGGGAATTGGGGGGATGGGAACAGTGCTGGGGAATTGGGGGAAGGGGAACAGACAAGTTGCTGTCCTTTTGTTCTTCAGTCTAGTTGTGGAGGACGTTGCTTCAGTTGGCACCATCATTGCACTCTTCCCTGGCGAGGCAGATCAGTCACTGCTTCTGGACTGCGGCTGCTGGCCACATATGGTAGCCCATGGCAACCCACTGCAGCAGGGTCTGCAGCCTACGCCATCGCCGGCGACCCATGGCAGCCCAGCTCCAGGTTGAGCTATTGTTCAGCATCTTAGCTGTGGAGGGCAGTGTCACTGGCCCTCATATGTGGGATCCAAACCGGGGCCCTCTGGCGTCCCAAGCCAGCTCTTAACCAACACGCCACTCGGCTGGCCCTTAACTCACCTATCTTGTCCAGACATGATTTCTAAGGAATTCAGGAAAAGGTTGCCCAAATGTTGTTTTTACACAAACACTCTTGCCAATATGAATAATAATGAATTTTATAACATCAGCTAACATTTACTAAGCACTTCCTATAGACAAGCCTGAGAGAAAATGCCTCATTGAATTATCAGGATAACCTGATGGCTACCATTCCTCTTTTTCTTTGACTGACTTTATTTTTGTTGGAAATTTTGGTACTGTGCCTTTGGAGGCCTCCGCTTTGACCGAGACAGATGCTGCTAACTCAGTCTCTCCATCAGAAAAGCCTGCTGATAAGCAGAGAGGGAGGCGGGGAGCCCTGGGGCTCAGCACCCCCTCCTGTGAGGGTGGGGTTTGCTGCCACAGTGCCCCACCCAGCAGTGGCCCCCACACCCTTTGGGGGATTTTCTAAATCCCTGAGAGTGCAGTGACACGGGAGAGCTTACAGAAAGCCTGAAAGGAACTGAGGAAGGTTTGAGAGCAGCCAAGAGAGGAAGCGGTGCAACCACCACCCTCTTTCACGCCTAGAAAGAAGCTGCCGTAAAACTCATTTCTAAAAGGGGAGTTGCTGTATTTAGTGATATAATTAAACGTAGAGGCAGGTCCTGTCAAGAAAGCGGCCTTTTAAAAGGCCTACCCTCTTGTTTTTAATTTCAGAAATCTTGATTTATGTTCATTTTACACCATTATAATCTACATCATTCCATTTCCAACATATTGTAGGAGAATGCCCAAGAATTAAATGCTTGAATGAATTATTTGTGACATTTTGTTATTAACACCAGCAATTTATCCCGAGTTAATCAATCTTACTAATATTTTTACACAATCAGGAAATAGAATGGATACCCTGAAGAATTTAGTTTTCAGTGTAACTCAGCTAATACAGGTTTCTGTAAAGAGAGCCATTAAAGAAATTTGGCTGTTATAAATAACTACACTTGATGAAATGCATAATCCTCATAATTAGCCTAAATTAATATATTTCCAAAAATTGTATTGGGTGGACACATATGCAAAATGTAACCTAATAAGGAATCTGAGCATAATTAAAATCTTGTTTCCAACTTTGATTAAATAATCAATGTTTTGACTAAGGCTATATAATAATGTGATTCTCATCACTTCCCCAAATGCTCAGTTTCTGAAAGGCATGCAACTGTCACGTGCAAAGCATTCTCTTAAAAATGCTGCTATACTCAGTCTCTCAGGCAACACTGTTTTTGTGTTATGCTAAAAAATGTCAAGAGCCGATGTTTCAGAAAACAGGTGACAGTGACAGTGCGTCGTTCATCAGCCACAACTTGAGTGTCTTAAGAGTGCTCAGCCTGTCATGGCTGGCTCTGATTGTTCCAAGCTGGGAGGGGCATGTAAGGGGATAACAAGTGGTTGTAGACGCAGGGAATGGAAAAGTAAGTTACAAAGCGAGTCTTGCCTAATCTTCGATTATGACACTTCCCGTTAATGCAGGAAACACTTGCTGGGGCCAGCTCTGTCTACAGTGACATCCTGGGGACTTAACCCTTCGAGAAGGAAGGGTCCTCAAGGTGAGATGTGCCCCGTTATTCACCTTTTTTTTTTTTTGGATATTGTCATTATCGCTTTCCCTTGGAGCATATCTTGCTCAAATTTAATGATAAACTCATTATCAATAAGGATCAAAGTGACTCCTGTAGTGTTGGCTTTAAGAAAAAAAGGGTGCATTTTCTTTCCCTTTTGAGAAAAAAAGAACAGGCTAATTATCAGATCACAATGAGACTATTTTCCCTCCCATCACCTTGCCAGTCTCCTAGTTACCACTGTCAAATTCTTTAAAACCTACCAGAATCTTCCTTACAGTTACGGAATATGGAGCCATCTCCCCTGGGAATGGCGCCCTCTCAGGAGCCAGGCTCTCCCCCATCAGCAGCATGCTCTCCGGCCCCCCGGGGTTTGGATGCTTTCCTTACAATCACGAATGGTCAGAAATCTGGGACATTATCCCAGGAAATCTCCACACACACAGGGTAGGCAGTGAAAGGGAAAGGGATTAGGCCTCATTGTATACAGCTTTAATGAAAAGTGTACCATTTGTCCAGTCCCCAAAAAGATCCATGGAGGGAATCCCTGCCTGCAAAATATCCCAGGTGGAACCCGGCTGACAAGCACCTTGCTGCGAGCACATGTGTTCAGGCTGGGCTCGAGACAGTGCGGTGCTCCACGTGCTGAACCTAATAAACTGAACGGAAACCTAGGCAGCCAAGGAAAAAGGGGGAGCAGGTATCCCCCAGGCTGCCTCGCAGAGCACGCTTTGATAAATACCTGAAGAGCTGGATATGTAAGCACACTTCCCCCCACTTTTCAGGAGACAGGCTGTGTTTGATTTCCCCTTTCAGACTCAAAACATGACAGGTTTGGGAGGATAAGAACAGTCTGCTCTGCCCCGTGCAGCAGTGCCGTTTGCACTTGCAGTAAATCCAGTAACACAGTCTGGGGTCCTTGCAGTGATGCTGCACACAGATGCAATCTGAGACACTCATTTCAATGTACCCGCATATTACTGGGGAGACTCAAGGAGCGTTCGGCTCAAGGCCTGATCGAATGATAGGTGACTAATTGTAAGATGAAAAATACATCTGACTTCTATTTTTATTTTCTTGGCAGAGCTGGTTAGATCACCCTGCCAATCAATACCTTTCCAAAATTAAGCCCATTTAAAACAAAACAAAACACAACAGAAACTGTGGAGAAAACCGGTTGTGCACGCCTTGGGGAACTGTGCTCTCATAAATCTCTCGAGTGGCAGTCTTGGAGATGACATGCGCAGGCAGGCTTCAATAGCTGAAATTCGCAGCCAGAAAGAGCCAGGCTGCCTGGGGTAACCCCAAGGAGCTATTCTTAGTCACCTGAGGAGCTGCTTCGGGCAGATGCTGTGAGTAGCCAATACTTTTCAGTCATGGTTTACATGTGACCTCTTGGCCGCGTCTCAGGCCAGAGTCGGTGGTCCTGGTTGAAAAGCTGCGAAGCACAGATCTTGTGTATGAATCACAGTATTCAAATCAGCAACTGACAGGATGAAATGGGGCATCTTAACTGGATCCTTCAAGCAGCAAATCAGATGTCTTCTGTCGCTTGACTCAGCCAATTTGAGGCGTAATAACAGATGATGTCAAGAGAACCCACAATGGCAAAAGGGCTTTAAAGGTCTGAGTTACACCGCAGGGTGCATCCCCAGGCGGTCTGGAGGTGGCATTGCAGAGCAGCTCGCCACCTCCGGGCCCACCTCATCTATCTCCACTGAAGTCATGGCATCGACAAAATGAAATGGAGCCAGTTTCAAATGGCCATCGGTCTCGGGGACTCCAGCGGTGTCCTTGAAAGTACTTAAAAGAAAACCAAAAAAGCAAGAGCCTCCATCAGTCAGGCCAGCTGTGGCTCCCACTGAGATTTGCAGGCTCCCTCTACGGCAGGGAGTGACCCTTTAGTCGAGAGGCCACAGAGACGAGGGGAGGATCTTGGGGGAGCATAAGGGGCCAGAACGGGCTGAGTTGGGGCATCAGCTATTAATCAAGCAACAAGGACACATTTTAATATGCAAATGATCCGTCTGAATATGTAAGATCATGTCATCTGCAGACAGAGCATTTCATTTCTTCCTTTCTGACCTGGATGCTTTATTTCTTTTTCCTGCCTAATTGCTTGGCTCAAACTTCTAGCACTATGTTAAATAGGAGTGGTGAGAGTGGGCATCCTTGTCTCGTTCCCGACCTTAAATGAGAAGCTTTTAATTTTTCACCACTGAGTATGATGTTAGCTGTGAGTTTGTCATACATGGCCTTTATTATGTTAAGGTACAATCCTTCTATACCTAGTCTATTGAGAGTATTTATTATAAAAGGGTATTGAATTTTGTCAAGTGCTTTTTCTGTATCTACTGAAATATTCATATAATTTTTATCATTCATCTTGTTAATGTAGTATAGTACTTTTGTTGATTTGAATATGTTGAACCATCCTTGCATCCCAGGGGTAAATCCCACTTGATCACGGTGTATGATCTTTTTAATGTGCTGTTGATTCAGTTTGCTAGTTTTTGTTGAGTATTTTTGCATCTATGTTCATCAGAGACAGTGGCCTACAGATTACATTATTTTATTGTAGCGTCTCGTCTGGCCTTGGTATCAGGGTAATGCTTTCCTCATCAAATGAGTTTGCAAGTGTCCTTACCACTTCAATTTTTTTGGAAGAGTTTGAGAAGGACTGGTATTAGTTAATTCTTCTTTAAATGTTAAGTAGAATTCAACGGTGAAGATAAATGGTCTTGGCTTTTTATTTGGAAGTTTTTGATTGCTAATTCGATCTCCTTACTAGTTATTGGTCTGTTCAGGTTTTATAATTCTTCATGATACAGTCATGGTAGGTTGTGTGTTTCTAGGTACTTATCCATTTCTTCTAGATTACCAAATTTGTTGGGATATAATTGTTCACAGTAGTCTCTTATCATCCTTTTTATTTCTGTGGCATCAGTTGTAGTGTATCCTTTTTCATTTCTGATTTTATTTATTTAAGTCTTTTCTCCTTTTATCTTAATCTAGCTAAAGGTTTGTCAATTTTGTTTATTTTTTTAAAAAACTAACCCTTAGTTTTGTTGAATTTTTCTATTCTCTATTTCATTTATTGCTGCTCTAGTCTTTATTATTTCCTTCCTTCTGCTGACTTTAGGCTTAGGTTGTTCTCTCTCTAGTTCCTTGAGGTGTAAGCTCAGGTTGTTTATTTGAGATCTTTCTTCACTGGTAAAGCCAACGCTATAAAACAAACAGACCTAAAAGATATAATGGAACATTCCACCTAACAGCAGCAGAGTACACATTTTTCTCAACTACATGTGGAAAATTCTTCAGAGTAAATCACATGTTAAGTTATAAAAAACAATTTTCAGGAGATTGAAATCATACCAGGTATCTTTTCTGACTATAATGGAACAAAACGAAAAATAAGTAACAGATGGAAAATTAGAAAATTCACCAATAGTGTAAATTTAAAAACATACTCTTGAACAACCAATGGGTCGAAGAAGAAATCAAAAGAGAAAATAGAAAATATCTTGAGACAAAGACAATGAAAACACAACATACCAAAACGTATGGGATGCAGCAAAAGCTGTACTAAGAGGGACGTGTACACTGATAAACGCCTACAGTAATTTCTTATCTTAAACACACATACATCCCTTATTGCTTTAATTGCATAAGAATGCTGTGCTACCCCCACCTGGTGGCACCACACCTAAATACAGGGTCCAGTCTTGAGCAGGTGAATAAACGCTTTTGAAGGGAGACTCTATGAAACTGAATAAATTGCGTGATGGCATGTGCAGTGGGGGGAGCTATGCAGTTTAATGCGTGAGAGGCTGAGGGAGAGTCAGTGAGGCCGGCCGCAAAGGCGGTCAAGGGCTGAGCTGAGTTCACCTGACACAAGAGGTGCTCTACCGGTTTTTTTATTTGTCCCACCTATCAGGTTTTCTTCCTTTTACTTTGGTCTCTTCCCTCTTATTTACTGACAACAGTAATTGCAAAGAATAGCAATTGCTCTCCAAGGAACAGAAGCGGTTCGGAATTTGAAGATGCCCCAACGCTGACCAACAGGGCCCGTGCCACCGCCCACCGCGGGTGTGAAGGCATTAACCGTGGTGGCCTGGGGTCGCGCTCACTCACCAAGGTTGTACCACATGTCTCTGATTTCGAAGCCGATCTGCCTCCTCATGTCTCCATACCTGAAAAGCAGGGATAGGAAAAACACCAGGTCACTCGGCACAGCCTTTGAAAAATCAGACTTGGGTAATTGAAAAGTGCAGTTCAAGCCCTCCATCGCCGAGGCACACGCAGTGTCAAAGCTTCACCGTCCCTCGCCGCCACCGAAGGGAACTGAAAGAGCTGGGACTCTCACGTTCCCATCAGCACAGATGGCGTAACCCCCTCCCCGCTGTGGGAGCCTGAGGCAGGTGCTGGGGAGCAATGGAATCCTTTTCCTTTCTTCAACCTCTAATGGCCAGCGAAAGAGAACCTGGCTCCTTGACCTAAGGGGGAGTTTGCTTTCCGGGGCATGTTCTTAGCAATCAGGCCCTGCAGACGCCAAATGACGCCCCACTCACAATAAGCAGTTTCCTGATGCTAAAATTAAGCCCTGGAGTCTGCAGTCAGAGCAGGGAGGTCTCTTCCAACTACATCTCATTCTTCTTTATCATTTTCAATGTAATGAAGGGCTTAACACCTAAAGACGTCCACAAATATCGCCCACCCCATTTTTGTTTATCAGCGAAAACAAATGCTAATTTTCCTCCCAGTGGGTCAGCGAAGAGGTGTGTGCTTCGTGAGTAAACAGAATTTGATGCTTCAGAAGATAAACCTTTATTGGGTTGTGGACAGTTTAACTTTTTCCTTTATTGCCTAAGGAAAAGGCTGATTATATTAAAAATAATAATTTGTGAATGATCATACAGTATTCCAGTTTAGCAGCTGTGTCACTGAGCCTGCTGTCTGCCCTCTTTGTCAGCTGATGTGACAAGGCAGGCTGATTACAGACGACAGAGTTGTGTCTCTAAAGGCAGAAAAGATCCTGGCTGGCAAATCAACAAGCACAGCCTGCTGCCTCTTTATTGTAAGAGTCTCAGGCACCCCACACACCTGTCTGTCGCCCACAGCCGGAGAGGGCTGCCGATGCCCTGATAATCTCCACCAGGGAGGATGCCGCCCACCTGGCAGCTCGCTCACAGTTGTTCGGGTGCTGTGTCCCATTGTACAGATGGAGACACTGAACGGGAGTGTAAGGCCTCCCTAGCAGGGCAAGCTGGTCCTCTGAGGTCGAGGTCCAGCCCAGCCCCACAACCAGGGCAGCGCTGATGCGGGTCAATTCGGTGAGTGAGAGGGAGGGAACCTCTGTCAGGAACGCAGCCATGGCCAACAGCGCCGTGAGGAGCGGCCTGTCCACAGGTGGTGCAAAGCCACGAGCAGCTAAGTTGCTGGATCCGAATTTGTGGGTGACAGGAGAGCACCCTTCAGTAGGTACCTGGCACCCAAGTCACCCAGGAGGCCGCGACCTGCGCACCATGAAGTTGTATGTCCTTTGGAGGCTTCTGAACCACTTTTCCCATTCCCATCTTGCTCCTGCACAAATGACACAGGGGTCCCAGCAGCCGCTGCAGCCCGGGACCGGAAAGGATGTGGTTGGCTGCACGGGAGCCTGGAGACTGGCGTCCTCAGGTGTCTGGCAGGGGAAGGGGACACGGAAAGTGAAACCGTGCTTTAGCCCCAGGGCTGAAGGTCCCTCCCCAGGTGGGTGAGGCTGTCACTCCACCTGGATGGACTGCTTCTCAGGGATGTGGGCATCTAAAGGCAGGGAGGACCCTGACAACACAAACGCACCCCAGCCCCTGCCACCATGTGGTCAGATCAACACACAGAGGAGACCTGAGGCCCAGAGGAGGTGACAGCCAGTCACAGGGGCTGGCCTGTCACTGAGAGGCTAACTCAAGCTTTAAACTCAAGCTTCTAACAGCCAAGCGATTCCGCATCATCCTGGGATAATACCTCAAAAAGTAAGAACAGCTCACGAGAGGCCGATCACCTGTGTCTGCGCCTGAGGCCCCAACCCAAGTCCTCTCCATGGGCATATCACAATTCTCCATTCAATAGAAGTCCCCAAACTCAGGAAGATAAAGCACAGGGGACCCTCAGCAGTGGCGGACTTCATGTTTGCGTTTGGGTCATTCAGGAGTCACCGAGGCCTCATGACCTTCAGTGACTTCCCATCTGGACAGAGCTGGCATTGATGCCTGGGCATGGGGGGGCGCTTATGGAGAGGGAAGTCTGCCACCACCGCCTCTGTCTGCACAGCACCTGCCCTTAAGGTGTGACGGGGTGCAGGGGCTCACGGTGGCTGGTTTACACTTGCAGTTCTGCTTTACTGTCTTGTAAATGGAAAATGACATGCCTTCACAGTATTTGGGGAGTGGAGATTAGCAAAGATCTGACAGCACACGCCCTGCTAGAGTCCAGACGAGGTATGAACGATGCCGCCTTCAGAGTCAAATAAGACAGAGATGCACTGGGCCGGAAGAACGGCAGCACGGAGCGTAAGGGGCTGGGAGGGGAAGGGCGAGGCTGAGTGTGCCTGGCAGGAAGGCTGATCGCTGCTTCTGTGGCAATAAGAAGGCAGCGTTGGTGAGTCTACACACGTCTCAGTGTAATCCCCAAATAGAGTTACAGCTGTCACCAGCCCGGGAGGGGTCCCAGAACCACGTGCATATTCTTCCTGAGGACGAGAAGGGGGCAATCATTGAGTTTCTGAGCTTCTGAGCTACCGCTCAGGGCCTGGAAACAGCACTGCAGAGCTGGCGGCACCCTAGGTCATAGCCACGTTCACCCCTAACACTCCAGAGCTGAGGGAGCTGAACCAGCCCTCGAGGGAGAAGCAGAGGGCTTGGCCGAGAGCACCGGGCAAGGGGAGAAGACGTGCCAGGTCTCCAGGCTCCCCCCACGGCAGGCACCACGCGCCCAGCAAGGGCGGACGCCCGTGATGTCACACATGGCGCTGTGCCGCGTCCCTCCAAGTCTCACCTGATTCTCACAGGTAGACTGAGCTGAGTATGAAGGTGTTGCTGCAGCCATTTTCCCACCAAGGAAGCAGACATTCCTGGTGGTGGCTGAGTCCCA